TAAGAAGAAGCTGTGGACATTGCCATACAATAGAGCTTTGAACAATAGCCCCAGCAGTGCAATAGTTTGTGCAGCCAGGACTCCATTCTTGGAGCTTGGATTCTTGGAGGCTGAGTTGAGGCCTGAGTCCATTTCAGACAAGGACACGAGATCTGAGATGAGGTCTAGGTCAAGACACCATCCAGAGTTAGAAAATAATATACATTTTCCAGGGTGTATTTTGGAGCAAATGCCAGCCCTCCACAGGTCAGGTACCAGGCATCAGGGCCAACAATCCAATCTCCAAATCATACATTAAACCATTCTTTGAGTCAGTACAGAGAAAGCCCTCAGAGATCACTCCATTTAACTCCCTCCTGGACAAACACACCAAGTGGGATGATGGCTCAAGAGGCAGAGCTGTCTTGCCTGGTGGCCCCATTGTACATGTTGGCGTTCTCTCATTGTAAGGATGTAACCATGGCAGTAGCCCAATCACAGCAGTGAGATTGGATCTCCTTCAAAGGCCTCCCCTAGGGTGTCCTGATGATGACAATCAGTGGAAGCCTGAAAGTCCAGCCTTGGGAGACTCCACCCAGCCACCTGTGTGCAGCCCAGGCCTTCCCAGCCTTCCTCCCTCTGTGGCTCTACATCCGGCAGGAAGCTTCTCCATTGTTCCATGACCTGCTCATCACAGGCAGGAGTTCCCCTCATTTAACCAAGTCTCTGAAACCTGAACACTGGCCCTAGGATACCTCAGCCCCAGGACTCTCTCCCACTCCATCCTCCGAGCAAACTCCAAGCAGGCTACCGAAGATCTGAACCTCTACAAGCTAAGGTTTTACACCTCTCACACATAGTATCTGAGGATTAGTTTTAAAAATTGAGATGTAATTCACTTATCACAAATTCATGCCTTTAAAGCCACAATCCAGCATTTTTTTTAAAGAGTATTCACAAAGTTCTACAATCACTAGCTAGGTAAAGAAAATTTTCTTCATCATCATATCATTAGTAATCATTCTCCATTCCTCTTCCCCATAATTCCTAGCAGCTACACATCTGTTTTTAAACTTTATGGATTTGCCTCCTCTGGGCATTTCATATGAATAAAATCATATAATATATGATCTTTTGTGACTAATTTCTTTCAAGTAACATAATATTTTCAAGGCTCATCCAATTTGTAACATGTGTGGGGATTTCACTGTTTTTTATGGCCAAATAATAGTCTGCCATATGGCTAGATCATACTTAGTTTATCTGTTCATTAGTTGATGAACATTTGGGTTGTTTCAAGTATTATAAGCATTCATGTACAAATTTTTATGTGACGTACATTTTCAGTTCTCTTAGGCATACAACTAAGAGTGAAACTTCTGGGTCATGGAGTAATTCTATGTTTAACTATTTGAGGAACTACTGACCAGTTTTCCTCAGTGGCTACATTGTTTTACACTCCTACCAGCAAGGTAGGATGGTTTCAATTTCTCTACTTCTCTCCTAACACTTGTTATTGTCTCTCTTTTCAATTAAAGTCATATTAATAGGTATGACATGGTGTATCAGTGTGGCTTGACTAATAATGGTCAGTATTTTTTCATGTACATATTGATCATTTGTATAACATTCCAGAGAAAGTAGCTGAAAGAATTTGATGGAAGAAATGGAAGGGGTTATGTCTAGAGAGGAGTTCCTTTTACTAAATAAACTCTCAAACAACAACAACAACAATAACAATAACAAGGAAAACTTGAATCTAAAAGGAGGAGGAGAGGGTGGGCCTGGAGAAGCGGAGTGTGGGGGAGATTTGAAGGAGGAGATAAAGGAGTTCAAAGCAAAGGCTCCCAGAGAGACTGCAGCGCCTGTTTCTGAGTCTCAGTTCCTGGCATTGGCAGAGACCTAGGCTCTGGGCCACACACATCGCATGCGTTGCCTCATGAATCCTGTCCACAGGTCCACTATCTCTGTGCTCCTGGTAAGGACAGCAGACTCAGAGGAATCTCACTCTGCTGGTCAACAACAGCCTCTGGGGCTCAAGTCCAGAGGGATATTAGACTCAACATCCCTCTGAGCTCCTGCACAGGCTCCATGAGGAGAAACAGGGCAACACTCTGCTCTGCTTTAGCTCACCCAAACTAGCCAGGTCACCACCAAGGGGCCAGGTCAGGTAGACACAGGATTGGAGCTGACTCTGGGAGGGCAGAAGTCACTGACCTGAAGCCCTGGCTCTGAAAAGACTCAGGGATGGGTGAGGAAAGGGTTAGCATTAGCTGGAGGCCAGAGTTTAGGGAATGGCCAATTAATTGGGCAAGTGGGCATGATGTATCAATCACGGAGACCCAGAACCTGCCCTCAGGAAACATCTTTCCCAAGCCAGGTACCTGCGCCTGGGACTAATTCGAAAATGCTGTTTCAGTTGCTATGCTGCCAGATCAAGCAGATTTCTGATAGGTCAGCCTAGATCAGGCTGAGGAGTGGGGGCTACAGAATGACCTCCACCAATAGCCTCATTGACCCTGTAAGCTCTTTCTATGGCCTATTCTCATCCTGCAGAGGATACCTCTTTTCCTATTTTAATTAGCACAAACTTTTTTTTTTTTTTTTTTGAAATAGGATCTCACTATGCAGTTCAAGCTAAACTTGAATTCCGTTTATAGCCCAGGCTGGCCTCCTGCCTCAGCCTCCCAAGTGCTGGTATGGCCCACCATACCTATCTGTAGAGCATATTCTTTTCCTACCTTTAATAAGTGTAAACCATGCTACCTTTTTTTTTCACTTGTTTTGACCAACTCTTTGTTCAGGACAGCAAGAACCTGGAAAGAATATCTATAAGGAGTCCACAGCTCCCCAGGGCCCCACTAATAAGTGGGCTACTGGGAACATGTGGCTTCAGCTCCAGACCAGATCCTAGACCTCTGGCTTGGCTTCCAAGGATACTGGGGGCCATTTTCCCTCTGTCCCAAATCTTTTAGCCCCAGTCCCAGAGCCCTGCCCTCCTGCTCCCTGTCAAAGCCTGCTCACCTGCCTTGGGTGAGTTCCTTCTGCAGCCTTACCTCTGGCCTTCCTGAAGCTTCCACCTCAGAATCCCCTGGAAAGGCTCAAGGTCTTCTGGGAATTACACGAAACTTTAGAGAAATGACTGATTCTGAAGGACAAAGTCCACAGCCCTTTAGGTGACAGAGGAAGCTCTGAACCTCTGGACCCTGAGAGCAGCAATAGCTCTGAACATCTGCCAGCTAGCAAACTTGCTAAACAGGTATTTTGTCAGTTGAAGCCTCCTGCTGCTAGGCGGGCCCTCCTGAGCAAGAGCCACCATTCCTCTATCTGCTGAGTCCCGGTGATCAGGGGCAGCCTGGTAGGGAGGCCCCCTGCTCTGTCCATCTTCACTGGGAAGGCTCAGGGTCCTGCCTCCCCAGCTGCCTCCCAGCTGCAAAAGGCAATTCCAGGGAAATGGGAGGCTGAGTACAGCTTTCTATCCTAAGATCTGGCCTGGAATTCTGGCTCTGCCATCAGCCCACCATGTGAGCCTGGACATTCACCTTTATCTTTCTGAGCCTTAGTTTCCTCATCTGTAAGGTGAGGATGACAATATCAAGTGATAAGGTTCAAGACCCATTACCCCAAAACACGATATCTCAGCGTTTAAGAAAAACAGAAAGCAGAATGTTACTTTACCTTCGCCTCACCCTGCCCTCTGACCTTCTTCTGCCCTCTCCTTTGAAGCATGTCACAAGGGCTTTGTCTGAAAGGTATCTTCCCATACACAGAGAAAGGGAACTTACTTATCTTTGAAGACACAGAGAAGAATTCAAGCAAACAGGTTTCTCTCAGTTTATTTCCATTAGACTATTTTTCTCTTTGTCTCTATCATACTTCTCTGCAATTATATACTTCATCAAACTTATCATAAAAATAACCAGCTTTCCTTGTTTTTTTTTGGGTACTTATTCTGGAAAGCTCTTGTATTGTGTAAAACTTAGATTAAGTAAATCTATCTACTATCTTTTGTTAATCTCCCCTTTGCTAATAGGAGCCTCAGCCTTGAGCCTTACAGTGGGGAAGGAAATCTTCTCCCCTGTGATGCCTTGAGGAGATGAGGCAGGAAGGGCACCTAACCCTGTTCCAAGCACAGGCCAGACCCCCACTAAGGGCCACCTTCCTCCCCTTTCCTGGTAAATCTTCAAGCACCCTTGAACAACCCAGTCCAACCCGAGCCATCCCCTCATGTTCACTTGGTTATCCTACAAATCAGCTCCTCCATTCATGCATCACCATCATCTCTCTATCATCTGGATTATCCCTTTCCCTCCCTCACCCAAGCCCCAGTCAACCACAGAACCTGA